CAGAGAAGCAGTGATGCCTGAAATGGAGCCAGAGATGATGACGTGGAGCGATGGAGCAGCTGGAGACTTTAGATCCAGAGAGGGAGAGTGACTGTGTGCTGAAGACCTGGGGGGCATGGGGGAAGGATTGCATGGAGGGGATTGTAACCATGGCAATGAGATGATATACGATAGAACGAATGTAAAATTAATGTTCTCCCATGTAAACTATCACATAATTCACAATAAAACATTAAAAAAAAAAAAAAGAGTGAGTTTAGTTTTAGATCTAGTGGGGGAAGGTAGAATTCCTACTGAACAGGTTTCATCCACATAGATCTGGTAAAAAGAAATGGAGATAGGATTCTTTTGTAATTGCTATCATGACTAATTGTGATGGTTACAACTGTAAAGGCAGAAGATGTGTAACAAAAATGGGGAAGTAGTTAATCTTACATTCCAGGAAGAGAGGACCCTAGGATTATCAAGAGAGAAGAGCATTAGCAGAGCCTGGGATCCTAACCAGAGAAGTCAGTGACACCAAAGATGGAGGCATAGATGAGGACGTGGAGAGAGAGCAGCTGAGAACTCTAGACTCATGGAAAGAGAAAGGCTATGTGCCAGAGGGCAAGAGGCTGGCTTGCAAAATGTGCAAAATGATTATAATTTGGTTGTTAAAATGGTTATAAATTTCTGTGAGTTTTGTGTACATAATAATAATAATAAGGGAATAGAGGCAAATACTGTTAACCAAAGGTGCATGGAGAGGATTGTAATCATAGCAGTGAAACAAAATACAACTGGTTGTGTGCAAATCTATCATTCTGCCATGTAAGCTATCACTCAACTCACAATAAAATAAAAGGCTAAAAAAAAGAAAAGAACACTGTTAAAAAAAAATAAATAAATAAAATAATAATCCATCCAGGAAGCGTTAGAAAATCCTAGTCCCATTCAAACTATGGTGTTATTCACTGAGTAGTAATTAGGTTTTAAAAGATCTGATGTTATTTTTACTTCTCAAATCCAAGAACAAAAAAATACAATAATCCAAAAGTATGTTTTTATTTGCAGCAAAATTTCAAGACAGATGGTTCTTTAAAAGTAGGCATTTAAACATAATACCTGAAAAATTAAAATTGAACGTTAAATTACATCTGAAATTTATTTTAAAAAAGCAAATACAGCATTGCAATTTCCTCAATATACTACCTTTATTTTAAAGTGTCAAAAACTTAAAGATGTTCTTATGCATATACATATAAGTCTCAAAATTCAGAACTATGCAAATAATTTTTCAATGATTACAAAATGAAATATTTACACACTTTAGTGTAGCACTTAATACTTACTTTTTAAATCTATTGCTGATGCTACTTCTAAAGAGCAATGATCCAACCAGAAAAACAGTAAAGGCTGCTTTTCTTTTTTAAAGTGCTCATTAGCAACCATATCCAAAAGCAATAGTTTTTACAAATACATAATATTGAAAAATTCTCCAAAAGTTACTACTTACGGAATCAAATGTCATTTTCTATCTCTGCACATGTAAACTGGTATTATCTGCATTAATGAAAGATTGCTTTCAATGGCCCTCAACCATATGCCTCAAATCAAGACAGTGCCATTAGTATCAGCAGCATGAACAGTGCCAGAACAAATGGTAGCACATGTTAAATGCATGCAGCAGATCAGAAAACTGTTACTCTTTACATACCCAGGCAGAGCATTCTCTATTATTCTGCATGTGAAGTAAACACTTAAAACAAAACACTATTGTCTCTCTACAGCACATTTTACAGTACATGAAGGAATTGAAAATGCTTATACCATTTAACCAAATTCTGGTTACTATACAGCACAGTCTTCATATTCTCAAGGGTTAAAACAAAGTCTATTTCTATCAAGAAAACAAAAAGGAGTTAATATATGAAATTCTCAACTCTTAAGTATCAGAGAAATAAAACTGAACAATTCTGAAACTAAGCATATTTGCAAACGGTTAATACAAACTTTACAAAATAGAATTTGTTTCTGACAGCTCAGAGTGAATGATTTGACTTCATCTCAATCATATCAATTTATCTGATTTAAATAATTTAGAACAAATCAGCATCATCTTAATCTAACTACTTCCTGTACCAGACTCTCACTCCAATTCTCACCCCAATAAGAACCATTCAACAGTCTCTTCCTCTCATGCTGTGTCTATTTTCTGAACCTTAGGGTTTTTTACTCCTTCTTTCTGTCTCCTCCAAAACATTCCCCAAGTATTCCACGAGAAAAATCTTCATTAAAACAAAACAAAACAAAAATCACAATTTAAATACAGTGTGGTAATGCTAAATTTGATCGAAAGTAGTAATAAATTATAAATTGCTTGATAATATAATTCACAGTGCAAATCCTTGGTATAAAAAGAATCCATCTTGACCTGAATATAACAAAGCAACCTACTGATTTCAAATTACTTATGAAATAAAGGAAAAAAATAAAGTGTAAAATATTAATTATAAAAGTCAAGTAAGAAACCAGTTACCATAAATCTTTTTACAAAGATAATTGTCATGTGCCTGACTGCTTTTAAAAATTGTTAGGGAGGTTTATAATTAGTGGTTTCAAAAATGACTTTAGTGAAACTAGAGATTGAGTTATATATTATACATAATTTTTGATACATTAAATATGCAAATGTAACAATAATACTGCAATGAAGAGTCATTTAAATTCATCTTTAGACCTTTTTGGCAAGTATATATTGTTCTTCTTAAAGTCTTTACTGTAACTGATTAATTTTTAAATGCTAGTTTTCAAAAACTTTGCTATTTAAGATACTTTTGTTAATAAGGAAATACCAGAAGTCTCAAACAATAATAATTAATATACTTACAAAATAAAATGATGACAGTTCCTGCATCTTGAGTTATTGTAACAAATACACTTTAAAATAAGACAGTATTGCTATGCCTGGAAATTTAAAAAGCCAAACACAAAAAAAAACACAACAGAGTAGAAAGGCAAAGAAAAATTGACAACTGTCATTTGAAAGTAAACCTGAAGTTCTTGCATTTTTAAGAACTTGACTTGTCACATCACAGTTATCTTCTTTCTGACTAAGCTGTATCTTCCATGATCCAGCTAGATCATACACTGTTAGTTGTTCTCCATTTTGTAGGGTCAGTTAGAATTTTCATGAATGTTGACAAAGCTGGTACTGGACTTCAGTCGTTTAGCTAGATAAACCAAAAGTATTATATTTTAATACAAATTTTGTTCTCTAAACATGGACATTAATTATTTTTATGAAACTACAGCAGTCCTGAAATGGTGCTGTAGGATAAGCACTGGACTGCTAACGACAAGGTCAGCAGTTCAAACCCATCAGCTGCTCCTCAGAAATACTATTACTGAGTCAGAACCAACTCAATGGCACTTTAAAATAACAGTATTATTAAGTAATTCTGTGTTTGAATCTGATTATAGCCAACATTCTAAGAACTAAAACCTGTTTTATACTCATCAGCACCAACCTCAAAACACATAGCTTAGCTGCTAAAAGTTGCACATGATTTTATTAGAAGCAGTACAAAATACAACGTAACTTAAGACATAACTTGGAGCCCCGCTGGCATAATGGGTTAAACATTGGGTTATGGGTTGCTGTGGTACAGTGAATTATTTAATGTCTGTTCTAGCCATAAATTTTGTAAACTCCCACCAACAACTTTTTCCTGATGGGAAAAATTAAAAAGAGTGAGAGAAGGTGACAGAAGATGCTGATGGATTATATGATTTGTTTTGAGTGACTGTTAACAGGGCTAATTTTGATTGGTCAATTTTGCCATCCTACTGGGTATAAAATGAGCCATCTCAGAAGCACAGGGATCTTACCACCATCAAAGAAGAGCCAGGAGTGGAATGCATCCTTTGGACCCTGAGATCCCTGTGAATTGAACCTCCTTGACCCAGGCACAGAAAGCTTTGGCACCAGATAAGTGGCAGAGGTGCAAGAACAGCAGAATCAAGAGTGGACATCCCAGCTCATGGAACAAGTAAAGCTGAGTTGTATGTGGCCATTGCAACAAATTATCTAATACAGCTGAGGAGTAGTGTGCCATGGAATGGAGGCTTGATGTAATTTTTGAAGGTGCTAACCACAAGGTTGGAGTCCTGGTGTGGTGCTGCGGCTTAATGCGCTGGACTGCAAGGTCGGTGGTTCAAGCTTACCAGCCTCTCAGAAACCCCATATAGGGTCGTTATGAGTTGGCACTTAACAACAACAATCACAAGGTTTGTGGTTCAAACTCACCAGCAGCTCTGTGGGAGAAAGGAGGAGGCAGTTTGCTCCCATAACTACTTACAATCTTAGAAACCCAAAGAAGCAGTTCTCCTCTGTCATATAGGGTCACTAGAGTCAGAATTGGGTTCGGCTTTTAAGTTTTAAAACATAATTGATATCGTCTTAAAAGTCACAATATTAATTATGCAATATAGTGAAAGTATTCCACTTAGAAAATGAAAATGCTATAAGGTATAATAATGCAATTTTATATTTAAAAGTCTAAAAGTTAGAAATTGAAGTCTAAATTCCTCAGTGAAAGAACTCTGTAATATTTTAAAATACAATTAAATGGCTTACAAAGAAAAAATGGATTGTATATTACATACATGTGCACACACATACACAAACATACATA